ACAAGATCCAATAAGTTCAAAAATGAAAATAAACGCCCCTCATCCCCACACAAAGCAGACCCCCAACCAACATACGTACAACAAAACGTTTTTTTTCCGTCGCCTCAGCCAAACGTTCTCGACGCCCGCCTCCCTGTCATGGTGTACATCCACGGGGGCGGGTACTTCGCAGGCAGCGCTGACAAGTACCCGCCTCATGTCTTGCTCAATGAGGATATTGTCATGGTATCACTACAGTATCGGCTTGGCATCATGGGTGAGTTCAGAGTGTGGAATTTTTTCTTTGTGCTATCTCGTATTTTAGCATATCTATACCACACTCATATCTACCTAAGTCTCCAGCCATCCACTATTCAGTCCATCCCTTCATCAATGCAACTGTCCAGCTATTCACCTACTCACTCATCTAGCCACCCACACATCCATTCAACTACCTGCCACCCATTCTTCGATTTTTATACCAACTCTCCCTCTCTCTCGCTTCCTTCCTCCCTCCCTCCTTCTCTCCTTCCATCCCTCTCTTTCCCTTCCCCTCTCCCTCCCTCCCTCCCTATCTTCCTACTTCCCCTTTCTCTCTCTTCCTCTCTCTCTCCCCCCCTCTCTCTCTCCTCTCCCTTCTTTCTCTCTCTCTGTCACTCTCCTTCCTTCTTTCCCTCCCTCCCACCCCCCCTCTCTCCCACCAACACAGTAACCTCCCCTACACCTCCCGTTAGGATTCCTATCGACGGAGGACTCGGTGATCCCCGGGAACTTCGGCTTGAAGGACCAGGCGCTAGGACTCCGCTGGACGAAGGAGAACATCCGCTTCTTCGGCGGGGATGCGTCGCGGATCACCGTCTTCGGGATCAGCGCCGGAGCGGCCTCGGTGCACTTCCAGGTCCTCTCGCCCAGCACGGACGGTTGGTTTCGGCGGATGGCCTTGGTTGGTGTGTGGGGGTATGTGTGTGTGTGTGTGGGGGGGGGGGTATGTTTTGTGTGTGTGGGTATGTTTGTGTGTGTTTGGGATGTGTGGGTGTGGGTATGTTTGTGTGCGTGTGGGGATGTTTGTGTGCGTGTGGGTATGTTTGTGTGTGTGTGGGGGGGGGGGTATGTTTTGTGTGTGGGGGGTATGTTTGTGTGTGTGTGTGTGGGGGGGTATGTTTGTATGTGTGTGGAAGGGTATGTTGTGTGTGTTTGTGTGTGTGGGGGGGTATGTTTGTGTGTGTTTGGGGTGTGTGTGGGTATGTTTGTGTGTGTGTTTGTGTGATACTATTGTTAGCATCATCATTATCATAATCATAATTTATTTTCATTGTTATCATTAACATTATATTTGCAATCTTTATTTCTTTATTATGTATTGCCACTGCAATTACTCATTTCTACCAGCATTCATTTTTTTCATTCATATCATTATTTATATCCAACCCCCCCCCTCTTCCACAGGACTCTTCCAGAGAGCCATCCTCCAGTCAGGGGCGGCCGTGTGTCCCTGGTCCCTTGGGCGTGCGCATCGAGAGACCGCCCACCGCATCGCCGCCCGCCATGGCTGCCCCGCCCACGAAGGCTCGCAAAAGGTTCTGGAATGTCTTCAAGGCGTCGCTGCTGAAGAAGTTGTGGCGGATTTGGTGGAGTATTTTGTAGGTATTCGTGCGGTTGTTTGTTTGTTTGGAGTGCTATTACGAAAATTCACATAAATACAAAATAGGAGAAAAAAACTGTAAAGGCAGATAGAAAGGTGATACACCAACACAAACAAACAAATATAGTAAAAAAAGAAAAACAGCTAACATACATAAAAGATACAAACAAGCAACACGCTTACACACACAAAAACAAACACCAAACACACACTCAAAACTGATAGACAAAACAAAAACACACACATGCACACACACACACACACACACACACACGCACACACACACACACATACACACATCCCAAAACACACACACACACACACATACACACACACATCCCCCTTCAACCTCCTCTCTCCGTCTCCTCCTTCAGGAATTCCTCCACGTGCCGCTGGTGATGGGGCCTCGCGTGGACGGGGACTTCCTCCCTGACGAGCCGGAGGTCCTGCTCGAGGAAGGAAGACACAAGAAGGTGGACCTGATCTCCGGAATCACAGCGCATGACGGCGGCCTCTTCGCGTTCGGTGAGCTGTTGTCGTTAATGTGTTTTTATTTATTTATCTTTTCTTTTTCTTTTGTTTCTTTTTTAGCGGTGGTGTCAATTATCATTATTCCATGGTCAGATTTGTTAATGGAGATTTGTTTTTATTGGTATGGTAATGATTTTTAGCCTTATTGGAATTAATGCTGTTCAAAGTATGGATATTTTTATCTTACTTTTATTAGATTATTGTAATAATGATAATAATGATGATATTAGTAATTATCATCATCATTATAATTATAAATCCTCTCCTCCCTTTTTCCGCTATGTTGCTTCCCCGCCCCCACCCCCCTCCTTATCCATCTTCTCCCCCATTTCCTTTTATTTCTCCCTT